CACACACACACACACACACACACACACACACACACACACACACACACTCTCACACACACACTCACACAAACAAGCAGCAAGGCTTCAAAAGGCCTACAGACCAACATGAAGATGTCCAGAACGGAACGATGGTTCGTTCAATTGTGAACTCTGAACACTGATTTCAGACTTTTAAAAGAAACACACAGCTACTCTGCCTCCATTAGTGTTATGATCAAGTTCAAAATGTACCGTTTCATTTGGTCACATGACATTATAGTAATCACTGATAATGTCCAGCACCTTGACAACCATGAGGTTGTTTCTTTTTTTTTTTTTTTACACAGAAATAATAATAAAAAAACTGAATATCAGTCTGTGATGACTGCAATGTGAAAATAAAAAACTTTGTAGAAATGGATGTGTCGCCTCAACACTGTAGAAAATAAATAGATTTAATTGAAGGCACTGGGGTAGTTCAATGTCTCTGAAGGCTTTCCAGATTGTCTGCTCAGCGAGATCCACATTCGCCACCTTGGGATACAAAAACAAAAGAAAAAGAGGGTGAGACAAAAATCATGGACACTGCATGATAGACATGTTAAAAGCACAGAAATATGCACAGACATGTATAAGTACACACTTCTTTACAGTGCTTCTAAAGGTTCTCCACCAGTTTAGCACCTTTAACTCACAACGACCAAGAATCTACATTGATGCAGCATCAAAACATGGCTGCACTCACCGGAGTTAACATACTACAGTTTAGAAAGATTACACATGGAGGGTATTTAATGAGCTCATTCCATTTTTAAGAACTATTTATATTTGACTATTGTTTAGACAACAACAACAACAACAACACAAATCTGCATTTCCCGACCAGAAGTTTATTTCTGGAAGTGTGGAGAAGTCTTTGGGATAGCATTTAAATGTTTACGTTTGGATATAAACTTTAAATACACACACACACACACACACACACACACACACACACACACACACACACACCAACAGAATTAATAAAATGTGAAAAATGTAAATAAATTTCCTCGGTATTTCTAATATCCTCGTCCTGTGAGTTCGGTCACTTATCAAGTAAAGATGCCAAACATTCACCACATCCAGCTTCTCCATTGTTAGCATTCACTGCTTTTCTCTTTTTCTATCATTATAAGTTGAATATCTTTGGGTTATGAGCGTGTGATGTATTCTTAGTATTATTTGACTCTGCAAAGATTAAACACTTCGTCAGTTAACTGAAAATAATGATCGAAAAGGTTCAACACTAATTTAATTACCATGAGTTGCAGGCTTACTTCTCTGCATCCCCTTTTCTTTTGCATCTGCTGCTCCATTAAACACTACACACCCAGCAAACAGGCTTACGTCTGTCCTAAATTCCGCTGCTTTCATTCCCTTCTAATGCCTCTATTAGAAACCACACGCCGAGTTCAGACATCTCTCTCTGCCCTGCTGGCAATTACTTCGCGGGTAAGAACATACAGCTGAGAAAAGCTCGACTAAACCTATGAATAGTGAACAGACGGGCGACTTCACTGAGATGCAGACTTGGGTGGTGAATCTCAGATCTAAACTATTTACTAAAGACCTTCCCGTCCTGCTTGTCTTCTGTCCCTCTTACTCACCAACATGTCCAAACACTGAGGGGCGTCACACAAATACTTGACAGATGTTCAAAGAGAAACAACTGAGTAAAAGCAGGGAGGAGATAGCAGAAATCCTGAGCGTTATCAACTATTGCAAAAAAAATAAAAAATAATCATACTGTTGTTTGGGATGCAAATCTACCAAGATGTTGTCCTTTAAGCTGCAATAAAAAGGTTTCGGTCACTTGAGAGCAGCAAGTTGAAAGCAAAACATTGACATCTATAAATCTGATGTGGTGAATGTGTTACAAAATAATTGCTTATTGAGAAATGTACCGGACATGAAGCAAGATCAGCATTCATTTGTTGTGTTTCTTGCCACTGGACAAATGTAAGTCTAAAGTCTGCTGCTGGAAACAGGGTTGAGCAGAGTTACTGGACATAAAACAGGTGAAGATGCTTAAACACATCTAAGGTTGAGGGGAACAGCAGAGTCTGTGAAAACTCTCTGTGGGTTTGTGATTAGCAGCGGCCCCTTTCACTTTGTAAATGGTACTATAATATACAAATATATATTGGTGCAACTTTGAATTTACAGAAGATGCGCTTACTTAAAATGTTACCAAATTTGTGGAGCAAGTGCTTGATTTACTGCATCTGCTGTGTTTACAAAGGGTTGCGTCTAGTAACCCTAACTTTGTGAAACTCTTGCGAGACGGTTAGGCATCGACCAAATCTAGACACGACCAAAAGGAAGCACCATTGGCAAGTAAGTAATGCTATTTTATTCGTCCATTAGAAGTTATCATACTTAACAAATGAGAAGTTGGTTCTTTCTGCATTACTTCCAAGCAGCACTGTCGCACCGACGGCAGTTGGAAGTTTTTTTTGTTTGGGATTTTTCATATTCAACCCAGCGGATTTATGTATGTACAAACGCACAATAACATGCACATAAAGGAACACACCAGTCAACAACACACAAGGCAGGGTGATGGTTTACTTTGACTGCTGGTTCACGAACAGAAGCTTGCTTCGTTGGGAGAGAACGGGTGGAGAGGAATAAGGCTTTCACACTGCTCACTGTCTTCTGGCAATCTGTGGGCGGAGAGAGCCGGGTGTCAATCATCATCACGGACATCATCTTGACAACCATCATTATTATAATTAGCCCTCACCAAATGGGAACAAGCATTCACAGAAGAATGGCGAGCATAATTGCCGCAGAGAGCACAGTCAGTCAAGCATATACATCTGATTACCGACTCAACTTAGCGAGGCTGCGAGCTACGAATGGAGCCTATTGTCCTTGTGAGAACGTCCCAGATGAAAAAACTCTTTAAGCGTGTGTCAGAGTTAAGGTCAATTCATTATGAATATGTCACACACCACAATACAATGAATTAACAACACACTATTCTATTCAAGACATTAAATGCTTTACTGGACTGGAAACCATTTCGTAGAATTTTTCAGATTTTGTCATAAACTTACAGAACATGTGGAAATTAGCTTAGCCCTGGTCCCTGATGTATGTATGTATGTATGTGTGTGTGTGTGTGTGTGTGTGTGTGTGTGTGTACAGAAATTACTTAGATTTGCTTTTAGCAGATGGAATCCATGGAAGCAGCATTTCCACCCATTAAAAAGGGAAAATTCACCACCTGTTATGTGGATGTCCAGTCAGCTTTTTGCCAGTTTCTATCAATGGAGCACCCAGCTGAGCACCAACTAGTGCTGCCAGGGATTGAACTGCATTACCTTTCTAAAGAGGTCCATGTTTTGTTCACTCCTCATCTTCTCAGCTTGATTTTGTTGACAACTGACATCATAAATGTACGCTTCTGGGCAACAAAATCTAAAATCCTGTGTCCTTCAATCGACCAAAAGACAATGTTTTCAAAATAGTCCTCGATTGTGAAACCTTGCCAAAAAAAATTAAAGGTGATGCAATGTTCACTCACACAGTTATCAACTGAAACAATGACTGCCTGAAGGGCAAGAAATCAAACAAAAACAAAAAAACTAACTCTGTGATTGGAAAATGTTCAATAGTAAAGTGTATGTGGCTTGTCACTACAGGTTGTATGTATGTTAGCTAGGGCAACATTTAATATGGTTGATGCAATCAGCTGCATGGCCAATTTCTGAGCTGAAGACCACAAATGTGTCTCTCTGACACGGTGACGTGTCGCCTCTGTAGAATCAAACATTGTTATACCTCTGAATGCGATGTTTCCTGCAAATGAAGACGTACACTCTCCTCAGCCCCACCAGGACAGGATCCCAGTTGTTGTAGTGGCATAAGAGCGCGGCGATGAAGAAGGAGAGGAAGACGGGGACCGCCCCGGCAAAAAACAGCCACGAGAACCGGACCTATGGTAAGGAAAGTAACCATTACAACTACTGTCATGACTGGACTTCAGATTATTAGATTCATTTATAAACATACAGCAAGTTAAAATGTGACAATTCATTTAGCCCCTAATTTAATCGATATTTACTCACATTACAACATTTACTTGAGCACATGAACCAGGCTCTTCATCTTGCAATCTGCTCTGACCCACTCCCTTCAAACTCGTGTCTTCAACAGATTGCGTTTGAACATTTTCTCGAGTCTTATTTAAAACTCTGACTCCGACTGTTAAGTACCTGCTTTGGGAAACGTACCTTGTGCATGCAAATATCTGCCATAATAGAGAGAGGGATAGTGAGGCTCAGTGCCATAGTCCCGATCAGAGACGATGTGAGGAAACAGCCCCTGTGGAGAGAAAGCAGCATCACCAGTCACAGCAGGATTACTCGCCCAACTGAGAGCATCAAAATGTCCACATACTAAATGCAGATTGTGATGCTTTGGTGACTTGATTAAAACAACGAGTCAGGCGCTCACCACAGCCAGAGGAACTCGGAGAGAACGGTTCCAATGAGGCCGTTGATAAGGATGTACGTCCACACCAGCTGGCTGGGAAGCTCAAAGGCCTCGAAGCCCGTGTAGTGGAGCAGGAGGAAGCCGGGCCACAGCAGCAGCAGGTTGAACAGACCCACAAACCCTGAGAGAGACACACAGCAGCTCCAGCTTAGACATCTCGAAAGACACCTCCTGTCCTCCACAGTGGCGAAGACTTTGTGCACTAAAAATAGCTTTAATGTGCAGGGGTCTCTATTATGTTGCTTAGTTAATGACTGAAATAAGTACAATAATCAGTCCCCATTTTTAAAAAGGACTGGCTTTGTCCTTAAAAAGACAAACGATACACTGAGCGTTTCCTTACCAAAGAACATGGGGATGTCGAGCTTATCCTCCCGGTCCACTCGTCTCTTGATCATTACGATGTAGACGGCGTACAGCACGGCCCCCGCCAGCGACCACAAAGAACCTTCACGTAAAAGTCAATTACATTTGGAAAGAATGTTTCAAATGATATCGATTCATCACTATTAAAGCAAGAGAGCAATGTAAGAATTTCCCTTCACGATAATGATGTGAAGGAGGTGACAGATACTCGCTGTCTCCACCGTTACCTGTGACGCCATTCTCATCAGGGTTGTCCATGCTGGAGAAACTCACGAGGGCAACTCCTCCCATGCTGAACAAGAGAGATACAACATGGACTGACTGAGTCCAGGCAATTTACAGGCAATCACAGGTCCTTTCATTTCAAAATGACATCTACTGTATATCATTGGGACGAAATCTCCAAAGAGCCCAGTAATGTTCAGATATCGAGCAGCAAACCAGAAATATCATCAAAGCTTGTTTTTAATCGATATACTGTATCTCCAAGATGAGACACATTCTCAATTATATCACAGCAGGCTTACTGTGACTCTTTTTTTCTTGACCTGTTTAAGGTTGTTTTTTAGCATCACTGCACTGGTTCCCGCTTACGTTTAAAATGCATTTTTAAATGTTATTAGTTACCTACAAAGCCATTAATCGTCCAGATTTTATTTATTTTTTTTATATATATATATATATATATATATA